AGCTCTTCCTAAGGCCATAAGGCAATGGCCAAGGACCAAAATGAGATTTAAACCCCCATGTATTTAAGGTTTAAATTAAACATAGCTAACTTTCCAATTTTGTCGCTTTAATATCCTTTTTTCGTTCTTTTTTACTCTTCTTTCAAGTAAAAAGGTTCAGATAAATAAGAAAATCAATTAAAATGAATTCTTTTGAGATGTTAGTTACCAAAAGTGCCAAATTTATAACTTCATCTTAGGCCTCTAGTTGAACCAAGTCAGCTCTAATCACCACCAGTGAAATTCCCTCTATGCCACTTACATCACTAACCACACCAAAGTAATGACCATCTCCTACAACATTAAGCCTGCCTTGATAGCATTATAACACTACCATTTACAAAAGGATGCCTATTTCGGGAAGCATGTCCATGGCTCCATTGAGATTGACTATGACCTTAGTATGCTCTCATATATTTCTCCCTGCCCATTGGCTTCCTAAGTAGCAATAGCCTTCATTAACGCCCTTAATTATGTAAATAACTACATTAAACAATTTGACAAAAATAAAGAACAAACCGACATAAAGCATCTCGTGTCACTAAGAACTAAAAGTTTCATCGTTGAGCTAAAAGCTACTGCAGAAGTAGTAAACTGGCATAAAATGTATGTTCCAGAGTTCAATGAAAAATAGCACACTTACATTTGAATCTGCAGTGAAGTTAAAATACTGAAATAAGATTCCCAAGACCAAGAAGACAATTCCAACAACAATACCCAGTGACTCAGGCCTGACAACCAAAAATAGAGTCATGATTATCAAAAATAAAATACGTCGGGAGCATGAAGCATCAGATCAATATACATGAGAAGGTACATTTTGGAAAGTAAAACAGGATATTCTCCAATAAACAATGAGTATTTCCAGAACAAACTTTATGTCAATCAATCGAGAATCAAAAATGCAAAACCAAATACAAAACTATGGATGACAATCACTGCACTCAATTGTCAAATATATGGAATTTTGTATCTAACTAAAATCTTCATAACCAACAGTCTAAGCAACAAGCTCGAAAGTCTCGAAACACAAGACAGTTGAGGTGCAAATTAGAATGCAACATTCCGTATTCATTGCCATGGTCAAATCCTCAAGGTAACAAACATATACCCAGTTCATGAATTCAACGAAAATTAATTCCAGTACATACCCACTTCATAATTTCAATAAAAGGATAATTTAGCGAAAACAAATAATTTGAAAAAATACTCACACTTTGACAGTGCCCTGAGGGGTACCCTTCTTGTTAATATCGTAGCCAAAGAGATTGCGCCGGAGGACGTATCTGGAAGCGACGGGGATCATCTTAACGGTGACGAAGAATCCGGCAAGGCTGAGACCAGCATTGATGAGAATCGATTTGCGAAGCCCTGCTTCGATCTTGTAGTGGTAGAAGAGGAGGTAAAAGTATGGGACTGAGAAGAAGAGCACGAGCTTCAGAATTAGGCCTGACTTTGGTGGTGCAATCGGCGGCTCTGCTAATGTGGGTTTTTGGGGTTTTGGCCGTGCGGCGGTCTCGTTTGGTTTGGTTTGTGCCGATGAATCTGTCGAAGCTCGCTTTCGAGCCGCCATGGCTCTCTCTCCCCTCTCTCTCTCTCTCTCTCTTTCTCTGCGATGATCTGAGTAATAGTTTCTAGTCTTTTATTGAAACTCTGCGTTTAGACTCGGCAAATCATGACTCATGACTGTCCAGTTACGTTTCTTCACCTCGTCATTGCACCAGTTGCACGCTGCCAGCTAATCATCCTCATATTTCATTGTACATCCTGCAGTTAGAGATCATTATAATTTTTTTTATTCAAGATTAAATAGAAATAGTACTTAACGAAAACTAACTCCACGATATACAATAAACAGATAGAATGTAAAGATTTTTAGAGTCTCAGAAATAATCTTTTGTGAGGATCTAGAGAGGATCCTCATCCATTTTGACCAACCAATTTGATGATGTTGGGTGGAACCGGATCCCCTCTGGACCCTTGTAAAATGAGCCTGCTGAGTATGAAATTCGATCCAATTACTACAAACAATGGGCCTTAAAAGTTATAATAGTTGTAGCAGTTGAATCAAATTTCAATGGCCCAGATCCTTTGCTCAGCAGGCTCAGTTTACAAGGGTCCGGAGGGATTCGATTCCATGTTGGGTCCATGAATACTTACACCTAGTTTAACATATAACATTAGTCCTTCTGGATTTGGATCCTGAGCAGGGGTCTGAATCCTCCTAATCCAATAACACGGCCCGTTGAATTTTGATCAAACTGCTACAATTATTATAACTTTTAGAGGGGCTCCCTGTTTGTAGTCATTGGATCAAAATCCAGCAGTCCGTGTTATTGGGTTAGGATGATTCGAACCCCCTCCTCAGGAGAGGATCCAAATCCAGTCCTTATTTACTTTTTTTTTGTCAAAATCAAATTTTTTATTACCAAAAAATTCTCAAAGGTTAAAAAGTAAAAAATAAAAGGTTAAGGTTTACTACCCTGAAATTTCTTTGTTTTCACCATTTCTATCAAGTTTTTTTTCGTTCCAATCTGGTACCTAAAGTTATAATTTTAGGACACTCTCATATATCTGTTAAGTTAATTAATAATGTGACGCCCACGTAAACAATAATTGGGCATTTCATGTCAATATGCCCCCACGTGGATATTAAAAAAAAAAAAATCAATGTCTTGCCCTTTGTTTCCCACCGAACCACAGGCCAATGTTAGCCCCAACCCAGCCACTAACAACCAAGGTTCTACAAGACACTAGACGCTAGTCGGGCAGTAGGCTGGGGCCTAGCGCCTAGGCGAACTAGGCAGATTTAAGTAAATCTATTATAGTTCGTGTAAATAAGTGTCTATTTATACTTAAAATATATATAATTTTATCATAAACTACAAAATAGAATGACATATATATTATGAAGTATTGGAACATAATAAAATATATGGAGAATACATATATAATATGTGTTCATTTAAGTATTCAACAAGTCTCTTACAATTTATTTATTTTTTTTAAATGCAAAATGAAAGTTATCTATTTTCTGTCTAAGTGAGTCACAACCTAGACAGGTGCCTAGGCAAGTCTAGGTGGGCTAGGTAAGTACCTAGACGGGTCTAGATGGGTTAGGCTAGTGTCTAGGTGGTCTAGGCGAGCACTTAGCAGGTTTAGGCGCCCTCTCTTAATTTTCAAATGTCTAGGCATTAATGGGGGCAGTGACTAGCTGCCTAGCGCCTAGGTTGGGCCTAGACGGCGCTAGGCGGGGATTTAGTGTTAACAACCCATTCTTCCAAGGTGACTAGAGATGAACCCGAGGCTATCTCTTGGCTACTCCCAAATCCTAAGGCAATGGAGAATCTGAATCTGGACTCGTGGTAGTATCTAAATCTAAGCTGCAGACATGTGGACTTGAAGCTTGAAAATAGTTACTAAATAAGATTTTAGTTTTCAGAAAACTAAAAATGAAATGGATATTTAACAGCCTATTGAGTGTCTAAACTTTTGTTTTACATTTTGGCTTATAGTGTTTATTTATTGGGTAAAGTACAAAAAACTACCTCAACTATTGGTGTCACGACACTTTCATACCTCATCTTTTAAAATTAACAATGTCATACCCTTATCTTACGAATTTGTGTCAATATTATACATTTCGTTAGCTTGGCGTGAATTTCTCAGTTAAATGCTAATGTAGCTTGATCCGGAGCCCATTTTCTATTAAAAATTATTAAAAACTAAAAAAAATCATTTAATATTTTTTAAATATTAAAATAATAAAAAAAAGTTATTTAAAAAAAAAAAAAAAAACCAACACTCAGTTCGTCCTCTTCCCCCCCCTTCTCTCTCTCTTCTTCCCATTCCTACAACTGCAACCCAGAAAAAAGAAGAGGAAAAAAAAAAACCAATTTGTCTTACCCGCTCCCCACCCCCTCTTCTCCCCACACCCACTCTTCGCACCCAACCTCCCCACCTTCACACCCACCCTCTGCACCCTAACCTCGCACCCACTACCTACAACCCAAAAAAAAAAAAAAAAAAAAAAACCCATATCCCGTTGAGGTGGAATCAGGAAACCTTTGCTAGGCCGATTCCGAAGGTTGAGAACCTGGGCACAGAGAAAATAGGGGGAATGGGTGTGGAGGGAAAAGGGTGGGTGCAGGGGGGAGGGACGAACTGGGTTTCCTTTTTATTTTATTTTATTTTATTTTTCTTCTCTCTCTTCTTCTTCTTCTTCTACAAGTTGGGTGGGGGGGGGGGACGGACGAACTGGGTTTTTTCCTGGTTTTTTTTTTTTTGGATTGCAGGTAGTGAGTGCGAGGGTGGGTGCGGGTTTAGGGAAGACGGGACGGGAGAAGAAAGGAAGGGGGTCGGGGAAAATCGCGAGTCGGGGGTGGGGGGGGGGAAGATAAATTGGTTTTTTTTTTTCTTCTTCTTCTTTTTTCTGGGTTGCAGGAAGGGTGCTGGAAGGGGAAGAAGATGAAGATGGGGGAGAAGAGAGAGAGACCGGGGGAGGGGGTGGGAAATGGGACGTGAGGGTTTTTTTTTAATTTTTTACTTTTCTTTATTATTTTAATATTTAAAAATTATTAAATGATTTTTTTTAGTTTTTAATAATTTTTTATTAGAAAATGGGTCAGTATGAAGCCGCGTCAGCATTTAATTGAGAAATAAATGGCCAAGCTAACGGAAGGTATAACATTGGCACAAATTCTAAAGATGAGGTATGACATTGTCAATTTTAGAAGATGATGTATGAAAATATTATGACACCAATAATTAAGGTAGTTTTTTGTATTTTACTCTTATTTATTTTTTTTAAATTGGAAGTTGTTATCATGATTTGAGTGAAAACTGAAAACAAAAATTAAAAAATAAAAATGAAACGAGATAGTTATCAAACACCCTTGAAATTTTACAAACTAACCTTCAGTTTTTTTTAGTTTTTAGTTGTCATCGAATAAGATTTCAATTTTTTATTTTTTAGTTCTCAAAAAAAGAAAAAGAAACGCCATGTAAATCATTAGCCCAATACCCGTGGGCCTCGTCTGGCACTCTGCGCTTTCAAACGCTTCCTCCTTCCTGGTTGGTGCGACTGAGCTCTGCTCTCACACACACACACTCAGGTGAACCTCTCCCTCTCCAAAGCTCTATTTCTCTCTTCCACTCTCTCTTATGATTGCTCTCACTCTCTCTCAGTCCTACTGGGTTCTTTTATGGTTAAAATCTGTTGCGGGTTTTTGTTTAATTTTAAGTTTTGATCATGATTTTGGTCAAGTTTGAGCTGTGATTTGGTGGGTATTTTTCTAGGGTTTCATATCAAGGTTTTTTTTTTTCTTTTCTTTTTGGGATTTTGAAAATTTTCTAACACAATCAATTTTTTGAGTCAATTTGTTTCTTAGTATGTACGAGTGTGGACCAAATGTCATCAAATTTCGTACGAATTCGTGCCTGAAAACCCCAAATATCTTAAATTTCTGCTAAGCAAATTAAGTTAGTAAAAAATCTATCCAATTTTCATCTGTTTATTAGCTATACTGTCATATATGAAATTCAACATCCAGGTCCTAAAGTTTGGATTTTAAAGCCTTACCTGATCTGCTTCACTTTCATACTTACTTTCGTTTGTTCTTTATACTGCAGGACTCAACAACATTTCATTTGTATTTTTTTTTGGTCAATAATTTCATTTGCAGGTTAGTCTCTTCATACATATAATTCATGTGTGTGTGTGTGTATATATTATGGATATGTTTATCTGCACTGATTGGATTGTGATATAATTGACTGCTTTATATATGTATGTGTCCATATTGATAAGAAAAAAAATAGGGTTTGTAAGAAAAAGCACGGATATAAAATGATTAACTGAAAAACCACACGGATATATCCAATTCTTTGATATATTTTATATCATTATACGTGTCTGGTGGTTCTCCCTCACTTTTCTGGTGCCGCGATGATGGCCTTTATTAAGGTTGTATAATACGGATTTCCGTATGATATGAGTATTGTATGTTTGAGCTGCAGAAAATGTGTTTTTTTCCATGTCTGTTGAACCAGTACTGAATACGGGCATATAACTGACTATGCTCTCAACAGTGACAAAGCACACAAAAATGTCAACCACCTCTCGCTCACTGTACCGCGCACTACGCCTGCGATCCTTCTCCACAAGCACAAAGCCAACTCATCACAACAGCCACCAGCAGAACCACCAGTACACGGAACCGAATTCCTTCATTGGGTGCTGGGATGCCCCCAAGGACCCCAAGGAGGCTGAGGCCAAGCTTGCGCAGCTCCGCCGAGACTACGCCAAGCAGGTCAAGGAGGTCCGCAAGGAGTATATCAAGGAGGTCGAGCTCATGAGGCTCGAGAAACTTCGCAAGGACGAGGCTCGTAAAGAAGCCCTTAGGCTCCAGAACGAGGAGCGCAAGAGGCTCAAGGCAGAGGCTGCAAAGGTCCGCGCCCAGCAGCGTGAGGTTGCCGAGCAGGAGTTCCGGCAAACGCTGGTATGTGCAATCTGATTTTTCTCCGATTTTGATTTTGTTCCGGCGTTTGGTTGCTGAGAAAGTGTGGGAAATGGAACGAAATTCTTGGGTTTTTAATTAATTTGAAATTTTGGGTTTTTGGTTTTTTGGGTTTGTCATGTGGAAATGGGAGGGCGGAGGAGAATTTGAGTTGGTGAAGTTTCTGATTTGTGTTTGCTTCAAATTTAGGTCTTCTAATTGGTTTTGATTATCTGTTTTGTTGTTGGAAAGATGAGAAAAAGGAGAAAACTTTGAATCCTTGAATCTTTTTTGGCTTTTCAGTTTGGTTTGTAGGAGAAAATGGGAAGATCTAATAGGAGTAAATGGTAAAGATAGATGATAGTTTTTTTCTTTTTTTTTTACCTTGTTTGATTGAGTTTAGATGCAGATTGAGAACAATAACTAATGGTCCAGTAGTTAGGAATTGGCTAGATTGATATGTTAGCATCTTTGTTATTTATGCGGAAATGTTAACCCATAAAAGCATTAGAAAGTAAGACATTCATAATGGATCTATTTGTGCTGTTGTGCTATCCAACTCTTCTGATGGTAAATCAGTCTATTCATTGATAATATGCATGGTGCATTTCTGACCATGATCTCAAAACAATTTTCATTAGGTAAAAAGTAAAAGCTGACATTCATTTGTACGCTTGGTAAACCTTGAGATATTTTTAGGTTTAATTTCCTTGACCAAATTGTTTCTTATCAAAAAAGAAGGCTTTTAAGAAGGTCCTTAGAGTTTAGAGTCCAAATCGATGTTGTTTAACTTAACATTTGATTAAAACCCTAATCTGGTGGTTTATAAATGTTCAATGGTGAAATTTTTCCCGTTAAAATAAAATTAATTATCTTGTTAAGCATTGATCAAAAATCTGGTTTGGCATATTCTTTTAGTTTCCATTCCTGTACCAACTAAAACTTGAGTAAATGTTTATAGTCATTGATGAAAAAAATAGTTGACACTGGTGTCTTGACATGTTTTATTTTAACAGTCCGAGCTCATACTGTGATAACATGAATAATGAGGGTTAAAAAATTTTGGTGAACTTAAATGTATTGATTGTCAGAGATTTCCTTGATCGTTTAAAGAAATATATAGCTTTAGTGGTGTGGGGGGAAGTGGTGTTTTGTTTGAGGTAGAAGGTAAAGTCGTTGTTTTCCTTGGTAGAGTTCTCCTTTTAGAGTGCACATGGGGTTCAAGCTTTTCCAACTCTATCTCTCCTCATGTAGTTGAGATTGCATTGCTTAGATGAAAGGATTAAGTGTATCAGTCGGAGATGCAACTTCCTTTCCCGTGGTTTTGGCAGGGACATGTGGGATTTGTTCTTTGTTAAGTATGCAAGGTTTGAATATCTAAAGTAAAATCACATGAGTAATCGTGGCATGCGAGTCTACCTTCGCGGGTTACATAAATAAATGACAATTTTATACTTGATTGAAAATCTTTATCCAATCAATGTCCTTGAGAGGAAGGAAAGAGAGCTGGTTATTTTTTCTTTTCTTGTTCGACACTGCTTCTATGTTTCTTTCACTTGTCTTATGTGTTTTGATTTGTCTAAATGCACAGTTGAAAGAAAGAGCAGAGAAGCTTGAGAATTGGAAGATGAAGGAAAAACAGAAAGAAGAGATGAAAAAAGATGAGAAAGAACTGCTGCGGCGTAAGAGTTCCATGTGGATCGATGAACAAGAGCTGGAAAAGAAGATTTTAGAAGCCATCGTCGATACCACACCCCTTTGAGTCTATTTCACTTCTAAATAGGCCAAGTGGTGCTATCCTGTAGTTTCACCGGATAGACAAGATAACCGAGACTTAGTATGTTTTGTACCGAGTCCTCATTTTTAACAAAATTTGTACACCTTTTTCAACTGAACTCTCTGTTTTGTGTCCTCATATGCTCTAAATTTTGGAAGGCATTGGTGTGATACCAGCCATAAGTTCTCTTACGGTCAAGTTAGCGTAAAGATTGTAAGCAGTAGGGAAGAGAGCGATTGAGATTTGAGAGCCGAATATGCATTGCCCATGTTCAACCCTAATAAAAGTCGGGAGATAGACCTTTTAGGATAGTGATATCCATATTAAACAAGGAGAATTTTAGAGGATACCTAGTAATGGATATTTTTACGTTATACGATTGTGATTACTTGAGGCTTAAGCCAATCCCAAGATTGTGGGAATCTCCAAGATTATAGGAAATTAGTCCATTTATCTTGCGGCGCAAACATAGTTATTCTCGACAAGACCTGTAGGTCCATAACTTTATTTGCTCACAAAGATTCATAGGTGAGTCTTGTTGGGAATGAACTTCAAAACATTTAAACAAATAAGTTCATCAATTGGTTCAGTCATTATATTACAACATAGAGTTGAAGTTTACAGACGGAAGGCAATACAAAATCTCCACCTCTAAATTTTGCAATGTACTACTTTGGTCTTTAGGCGATTTCAAATGCCCATACAAAATTGGATTTCATTTCACCGTCCTACCTACAGCTTAAATACAAGACCTACAGGGCAATGATCGCTACCAGTAACGTCAGGGAGAATGTATGAGTCGTGAACCTTGTCCGCTATGGATTCTGAGACGAGGAAGTAGTCAAGCCGCCACCCTAGCAAGAACAATAACAACAACAAATCTGAACTATTGAAGGTGAAAAAAAAAAAAAATCTTTCCTTAGATATGAATATCGCGCGCTTGCACACACACACACACACACATGTTCCAAGAATCACAAAATCAGTATGCAAATAATGGATGCTTAGAATGCCTGGTCATAGGAACACTTAGATCATAACTATATGGTATAATTTGATACCATCAAGCACTTGTTCGAATGCAATTGCAAATCTGAATAATGAAATCTACTTAATACAGATTGAGAAATACCTCTATTAAATTTGCGTCCGCCATGCTGATAACCCCAGTATGTATAGCCTACAACACCAGGGTGTTGCCTTCTGAAGGTATCCACAAATCCCTTGGATAAAAAGTTTGTCCCAAAGGATTGCCTTTCTTCATCTGTAAACCCGGCACTTCTTCTATTTCCCTATAGGTGTATTAAGAAAAAAGATCATCAATAAAATCAGTATAGTATGCTATAAGCTGTGTCACCGAGTAGGCATAACATCCCCTAAATATGTTCAATTTGCCACCTCAATTTTCCTAAGAAAAGGTTAAAAAAAATTTGAAGCAAATTAATGGCCCAAATTTAGGATTCGTTTTTTCAAGTAGGAACAGATTAAATGACACCAGACAGGTGTGTGACAAGCTGAATTTACACCACTTAAAGCTTCTACAGAATTTTTTTCCCCTGATTCAACCGTAGAACTTAATGCTGAAATTATGCTCATTTTGTTTGTCAAAATCTCAAACATCGATAACCTTGATTTATAAAATATATTTCTTGAGACAGATACCCTAAAACTCAGATACTTTTCCTTATGTTGAGTGATCTGCAGGGAACAACAAAGGTTTACTGACAACAAAATCTGGAGAACTTACAGCTGGGTTATATATGTCTATCTCTTGATGAGCACAGTTCAGATCACCAGTTAAAATGACAGGTTTTGACTTTTCCAGCTCCTGCGTTGAAAATGAAGGTGCCCAAAAGCATCAAGTAATTATTAAATAATCACATCAGCTATGCTTTTTCAAAAGCATAAAAAATTTCTTTGATCCAGAAAAAAAAAAAAAGAGTATTGTGCCGTAATAGAGGTAAAAATATAGTACACTTACTTTCATGTAATTGCTGAGAGTTGGATCCCATTCTGTGATCCTGTATGACTAAAAAAGAAATTGCGACTGTTAGCAGAGAAGACACCTCTAAATACTACATCGAACTTGGCTGCAAAATGCTTACCAGTCTTCGCAAACCATCTCCAGAATTAGGAACATATCCACTTATCAGGTAAAACGAGTCAAACTCTACTGTTACAATCCGCCCCTCACTGTCATGATCGGGTATGCCAAGGCCATATGTGACAGAATGTGGCTTTATCTGTCAGATGATGAACGCCAATTTGTATTAGCAGATTAACCAATATAAAATTCATGAATGGATAAAAGCAAATCCAACTCTGCTGTTCCAATACCACAGATGGAAAAACAATATCAATGTAGAAACAAAAATGAATAGTTGCATTCAAATAAGAAAGCAAGAATTAATCAAAATAATTTTATTCTGACCCAATAAGCGTTTGAAACATTTTTTTTAAAAAAAGGTAATAGGCAAAAATCACTGCTCTCAACTTTGTTGCTGACATCTATATTATTCATATGTAAGAGAAAAAATTAGCAGCTGCAGTTCAATTCTCGAAAAATTCTAAAACTAGGTAGACACAGACTAAAGTAGTACACAGATTTCATTATCATTGGACTAGAAGCCTAGAATCTACATTGTTCACACAAATAAATAGCTGACCAGAATTAAGCATTAAGTGAGGTTAACACAACATTAAGGAGCCATGGTGCAGGTATAAATAAAGACCATTATACATTAAATACTTCATTTTCTAAAGACATCAAATAACTGCCTTCAAGAAGAGAGAAGCTATATACCCGAGATATAATTGCAGTTCCTGAATAACCAAGTTTGGAAACACTGCATGTCCAGAAGCTATTCTCATAGCCATCTATCAGAGACCTTTTCACATCTTCAACATCTTTCTCCTGTTCCAAAACATAATATAATTGATATAGAAAAAGCAAAATGAAAGATGGGCGCAATTTACGTCTTATAGTTAACTTTAGAAGGACAAAGGCATAAGATGTAGCTTGGTTGTCCCAAATAGAAAATATACTTTTCTATCACTGGTGAGACACAAAAGTCCAGTTCCAATTATAAACTAAGGTTTCGAATGGAAAAAATCAGTATACCTCAAACATTGATAGTATGATCGAACAACCTAAGAGTCCAAAGTAGGGAATGGTTACCGGTATACTTGGCATGAATATTTCAGAGTAAAGCACTGCATTACAATAAAAGATCTCCTTCTATTGTAAAAATAAACTCCACCAAAATTTTTTTTTCTTCTTATAAGTGACCAAAACTATACAAGTGCAAGTAGTGAAGCAATCTTGATAGTTGATGCACACAAAAAGAGATTGAAAAAAAAAAATATTGACCTTTATTTACTCAGAAATGAAAACCTATTCTTCGGTGAGCCTTCTTGAGAGTGAACTTTAAGCCTTAGATAGCCCATCATGTTGAAACATAAAAGATAATGTCACTCATTGCTCAGCACGTTCAGAGTCCAAACTATCAGCCAATTCTTTGCCAATCACAAAGCATGTAGATATAATAAAATGTAACTACAAAACAATGATGCATTAACTGTATTATCAAACAAGAATTGACCCTTTAAAGGTAAAAATTAGAACTAAAATACTTGCCTGCAGTTTGGTTTCCTGCAAACACAGTACATCAAAATCTTCCCTTTGAGCGAGCTGCAAAGCAGAGAATCCCTCCAGCTTAAGTAATGCCCTTAAACCATTGACATTCCAAGACATAAGCTTCACAAATTTAGTATCTTTGGGAAGCAGTGGACGCTTCATTGTTCTAGGATTATAAGGAATCCAATCTTTCTGAGGTTTCTTGTGTGCAAGAACTGTCCACGGCTCAGCCACTTTATCATCAGTTTTGACATCAACGCTAATAGCTTCTGAAGATACTTTCCTCCGTGTCCTCGAGATTTTCTCACCTAGACAGATAACAACAGTATACAAGCAGAACCAGTCATCATCATTAAGTTAACTGAACCCGGATAAAAATATGAAAATACACTGAATTAAGACAATCCATGGAACCATTTTACAGCACCTGAAACCTCATCATATTCAATTGACAGCTTCTCCTTTTTCGTGGCAACTTTGTTATCGCCTACAAGAGTTTTACTCTTAACTGACGAATGCTTTAACCTTCTCTTATTCCGTTGCAGTTCATAACCCTCCAAAACAGTGTCGACATTTTGAGCATGGTCTCCATCAGATGAAGTTTCAGCCTTGGTTTGACCCGATGCATTTTCAATAGAAATGGAGGACACTTGTCCTTGTCTTACCACAGAACCTTCACCTGATAAATGCAAATGAACTCTTAAGTCCTAACCATTCAAGTCCAAGGAACTAGGCACAAAGAAAGAAATAGTATGAAATCAATTTTAATAATAAGTTCATTAACTTTTGGAGCAGTACATGAAAAAAAAAATTCGGTACCATCTATCTTCTTTTCCAAAAAGCACTTCAAGGCAGACACAAGCTCGCATTTACGACCTTTGGCAGGGATACCGACATTCCTGGCAGGCAATTTAAAGTTTCAAACCATTCTACAAGCACTGTAAATCATAATATTCAACTCAAATCCCCACTTGCTATCTATCAATACCATACACACTTGATACAAAAGGAACATACCCATTTGAGTGTTGACTAACAAAAAAAATTAAGACTTGAAGAAATGTTTACCTCAACGTAGTTCGGAGTTGGTGAACCGTCATTGCCTCGATTCGTGCAGGGTCATCCTTAAAACTCTCAATCTCAAGCTCATTGCTTTCGACATCGTCTTCCTAAGAGATTCAATCAATCACTAACAAACACTATTTGCAAATCACCCAACAAACAAAAAACAGAAATAAATAGAAAAATCAGAATAAAATACATGAAATTTATACAAGTAGAACCTTGAAAATAGGGTTCTGAGGAGTTGGGTTTGTGGAACTCATTGGTACTTTGGCTTTGGGGGATTTCTTTCTTGTGGGGGAAGCAGTCGAGACGGTGCGTTTAGGCACAAAAGCTTGAGGTACTCTCAATCTAATAAGAGAATCCAATGCTCTTGTTCCGGTTGTGGAATTCGTGGGAGAAACTGCGAAGCTACTGGTATGGGTCGTCAGTTATTTCAAATGTAGCTGAAATTAAATTCATACGGAATTGAAAATCATAGAAAAAACCTTAACCTTAACCTGCTGAGATTGAGGAAAGACTTAAACCCTAATTGCATTCTTCTTCCAGACCAAGCTGCAAAGACAGACTGAGAAATATGATTTTTATTTATTTAATTTTTTTTTATTTTTATTTTTTATTTATTTATTTTATTTTTTTAACTTCCTTTGTGTCCGTACAAGTACAACCGTCAATTTGACGATGAAATTTGAACGGAAATTTTTATATAAATTATTGTAGATATGTTAAATGATTAAAATAAATATAATATTTAATGTGATATAATAATTGTCGAAGATAATAATGTAGGATAATTATTATAATTTTGTAAAACATGTAAAGGTATACTTGTCATTTAAATTTTTTAAATGGGAAATGATTACTATTCCTTAAAAAAATATATATTTTAGAAGCATAGTAGACAATGCTTTTGCTTTTATATGCTTTTCTAGTGTCATTGACATTAGTTTTTTTTAAAAAGCATTTTTTTTTTGTTTTATCAAAAATACATTTAATGTTTCAGATTTTTTTAATAAGCTGGTTTTTTTAAAAGTACCACAATTCCAAACCAACCCATAGTCGACAACTTTGTTTTTGTACTTTTTTTTAAAAACAATAGTATTTCATTGGGCCAGCCAAATTAATGTGGTTCAACTTTGCGTTTGGCGAGAAACGAATTTAAAACCTCCCACTTACAAGTGAAGAGGAATACCACTAAAACTAGATTGAGAAGTAGATGGATCTCACGATAAGAACATCCAAGGGTAAGTTCGGTTCGGTTTTTTGCCGAAACCGAAAAATGAAGTCACCATTCAGTTCAGCTTTTCGTTCTGTGACCTCGGTTCGGTTTCCTCATTCTTTCTATGGTTTTAGTTCGAAGGCATCTGTCTTTCATCGTCGTCTCGCGCCATGGTTTCTTGCAGATTCAAGAAATAAAAGAAAAAGCCAAACATGAACGTTGCGTTGAAATATTTTGTCGGGAGGTTGTAAGCCTCTGGAGGATGAGGAGGAGGAGGAGGAGGAATTGGTTCAACCTAAGTAGGTAAACAGGTGCATGCATGTGTGGAGTGTGGCTTTATATACAAGGATGTCAATGACAATATATCATTTGCGAGAATGAGGTAAAAGGATCTCTGTATTAACCCCCATCCAATGTTGTATATAAACACAAACGAATGTGACGGGAGAAAGAATATGAATTACAGTCGCCAGCAATCGGGCCGGTTCTTGAATACCTACCGGGAAATCCCCTCTAACCTCTTAACCTCTGCAATCTCCTAATCTAAAACCTGTAATGTACATCAGCGCTTGGGTAATGATCGGGAAGAACCACATAAAAAACTGAAAAACGAAAAAAAAAACACCTCATCTCAACAGCAGACCAACCTGTCTGTTTCTTTCACTCCCTCGAACTTTTCTCTTCAACAAAAATGGCATTGCTCAATATGCTTTGTTCACACGGGAAGCTTGATGAGGTCTCGGTCATTGGGATTGGAAGACAGTTGTACGTCAATTTGAAAATCATCCTCATCCAAGCCAGGAGGAGATAATGGTGGAATTGCCAACGGGTGAGAAGCATCGTCTATGAATTCCAAGACCCTTCTTGCAGTTGCTTGAGAATCTAGTAGTTTACCAATCTTTCTTGAATTAATTGCCCCAGATGTTGATTCCCTAGAGGAGTTGCTACTTTCAACCGAGGACAAAAACTGATCTCTTGTGAGATTTGTTTGTGCAGCTGATGCAATTACGGAGCTGAAAACACCTGATTCCCTTAATCCCTGTATGATGACCTGAAACAGAATGAATTCAAAAGGTTTCAGGATTCCAAGCTCACAGCAATTATATCAACACACGAAATTAGTTACCATATTCATTGAACCAAGAAAGACAAGCAAGGCAAGCCAGTACTGCAGAACTAACCATCGGTGCATAAATCCGAGTCAAGATGCCCTTCCTTAAAAGTTTTAAGTTGAGCTCTTTGTCAGTCCACACAATGCGTTCCCGGTACCTAAACCAACAGAAGGGAGTTTTAGAATAGAAACCTTGACAAATTTCAATTGTGAGACCTGTTTAAATCCAGCTCTCAAGGATTTCCAACAATTTATCGTTTGAAAAAATCCTTCTTTTTGTAGTAGTAGAGTGACAATTATTACTAGACAAATGCTAGAAACCCTAAAATGAAATGATTAATGTGTCATAATGCGTAAATGTTTCTTCACTGCCACACAACAAGCTCCCACAACTAAAAGTTAAGGATAAGAAAATCTGTTGGTAAAAACTATTACCAGTTAAGCATTTCCTCCTCTGTTGCAGTTGAAGCAATTATGAATGCCTGCAAAAGATAAAGAGGAAGGAGTGTGAGCATGACAAATCAAATTTAACCAACTGTCGAGACAACTGCACTGATAAGAAAAACCAATATCGGAAATATGGTGACATTCAAAGACTTGCTTGTTCCTCATAGAAACATATGTAGTAGTCCCAGGACATCTCCAACAAATCTCAAATATTACCACAACAATAACATTCTTAATAAATTTACAAACATAACAAATGTATATCAAGATTAAAATAGATGGTAATATGTCAAGAGGCAAAAGCAGAATAAAATATGAGGCAACAAAGAAAATAAGAACAAAGGTATAAGAAGTTCAGAACTCACAGCTCTGTCAAATTCCAACATGAAGCATCTTTTAACATCATCCTTGGTAGGCTTGCAACCACAACGATCACGTCTAGAGGTCAAATCAGAAAATTTGGGATATGTATAATGCAGAATAGCAGCCTCATCCAATTTGATCTCACTATGAAATATCACAAGGATGAAGGCTAAGTAAATATATATCACAAGGAGAACACCAGTGATAAACTACAAGCAGAAAGACCGTTTACAATCCTCTGTAAATTGGGACTATACTGGAATAATTAGTCGATTACAAAAAGGACAGAAGCATTATATAGATGCATGTTTAAAAGATTGATAAAATATTTTAGATAGAATAGCCGTACTTTGGTGTCTTCATATAATTGTGCCATCTATGTGCACCATTAGGGCGAAGGTGATCTTGAATTCGGGCAGCTGATTTCCCATTTCCGTATGTTAAAAAGTAGTTTGGGTTACCCCTAGTTGCTTCTTTATAATTTCCAAAATATACATCCTTTGGAAGATGGTCATAGTTTTTCTTGAACATTGACACCTACAACATAAACAATAACTGATTTTGGTCAACAAAAATTTGTTGTGCTCTTTTTTCATAAAAGCAAAAACTGTAATGATTCCACAAAATTAATTCACTTTCTCTTCATGCGCATTTGAAATGATTTTTTTTTGTCCTTTTTCTCTTTAGAGAATCATCCTTCTCCATAATAACCAAAAACACATGTTGCTGACCTTCAATCACTATTAATTCTACTTGGTATTAACAAACATGGACAAGAAGCGTTTAAATAAATTATACCTCACTGAAAGGTTCCTTGATATCATCACGCTCTACACTACTTTCCTGAAGAAACACAAGCAGATGTCACTATAAATTAAACTAAGTCTCATATTAATGTCAATGATTAATGTAAAAAGCAATGAGACTAGAAGTCTGATCAACTATAATTTCTTGACATCAACAAAATACTTCATCTTTTTCACAGGTCAATATGAATGCATCTTTAGTAACAAGACTAAAATCCACATTCAAGGGTGCAGTGTAGCTTAGACAATAAAGTTTAGCATTTCCCTAGAGAACCAAGATCAGAACTTGTCTTTACAGTTGGAGTTGAACGTTAAAACAATGGAAGATGGCCACTGTTCACTGTATACCCTAAAAACCCATATGACATATAATGTGCCGAAGAAACTATCTCTAAAAAGTCACTTACATAATTTGGAAAGATAACCATATCAACATTTCCAGGCACATCGGACAACAACTGTCTCAAAGAGTACTCATGAGTGCCCGCTGGATATATTAGCTCATCAGTGTCAAGATGGATGATCCAATCCATGCCGGCTTCCTAAAATAGTAGAAGAAAATGTTACAAACTATATCAAGCCGGAAAGAAATGAAATTGTGATGTGTGCAATAGAAGAAAAAATTCATACCCTTGCCATGACAATAGCCATCTCCATGTTAAGGGACTGCTTCACAAACAACTCATAATTACACGGCTTATAGAAGAAGCTTGACAGCCAAGTCTCGTTCCAAATCCGGCTAAGTAAACAAAACAGAAGGTATAAATAAACCATCAGATCATAGTAGTAACAACATGAAAGAACCGCAGGACTGTCTTTTTTCATTAAATTGAAATTTTCTCTTCAAAATAAGTTCTCTAATCTTAGCTTATTTAGTCATTCGTCAAAAAACTGCAGGACTGTCTTCTTTATCTTACACTTACCTTTTAGCTTGCTGCTCCTCCAATTCCCTTGTCCTGTATATAACCTTCACTCCCTATAATATGGATGTTGTATCCCATGAGAAGTTGGCAAACCAAAACTAAAAACAAACTAAACTTATAGACATCAACTGAGTTTTGTTCACTAGTAATATATCCAAGTGAAGCATTGAACTAGAACTCACCGGAATGGTTTCTAAAACTTTAGATACTTTAGGGGACGCAGCCTTCCCTTCCACGAAAAGGAAAAAGTTTGATACTCCAATAACCTTATGATAAAAGATCCATGGCAAAGTTTGCTCTAAACCAGCTGAAGTGCTTGTTTGAATGGATATCTGGCACATAAAAAATTCATAAACATACATCATGGCAATCAATGCGCAAAATCAAACATCTAAGATCAACCGGAAACATGATTCCGCATTAGAGACAGAAAACTGGAAATTCCATGGAAAACATAGAACATGAGACTTTTCCATAAACCAAATCAAACCTAAAGCACCCGTGACATAAATTCTGCTTGACCTTTTCTTTCGGTTTTCTTTCAACGTAAAATGATAATTGTTGTTCCTTTGAATTTGGTTCAATTCATGCTTCCATCCACAAGTCAAGACCCCAATATATTTACTAGCTCACCGGTCGTAAATTGCCTCTTCATGCCGATAGTATGTGCTGATGTTAGTACAACTGTAACTTACATCATGAAACCCGAAAATCGTTGTAGAATTTAGACATTGAAGACTAAATAATAGAATCCAATCATTTTTAATCAGAAATGGCACGTTGACATCATTAGACATTAATCAGAAATGACTACATAAATGCCAGAAAGCCCAAAACGTAATGTATTACAGAACAAATCTCCAATCGTAGATTCTCAGAGCCAATCAGATCCCAAGATCCAAACACGATCTATCAAATCAAATCCAAACACCATTAATCAAATTTCGACAAACATCAACGGCGATCAAACAATCAAATCAAATCGAACACACACACAGACCTTGGGCCTCAGATCGGAGGCGTAATCGAACTTCCAATCCTTGTAGTAGGGGAAGGCGGGGGAGTGGCTCCGACCCAGAATATCGACACAGTCGGAACCCGAAGAACGTAAAGCCTGGCGCTGGACCTCACCCATCTGGACCATGCCGGGGAAATCGTGGTGATCCGGCGACCACCGGGTAACGGGGTCATTGAGGCCGCCGCGCCATTGGAGAACGAAGGCGAAGGCGGCGAGAGTCAGGGGGAGGACGGTGAGGAGGAGAAGGAGGCGGGAAGCGAAGGTCTGGAAGGAAGAAGAAGATGGGGACGACAACGAGGAGGAGGAAGAAGAGGTGGGTCTGGAGGAAGAGTAGAGACCCGCCATGGGAGGTTGACGAGAGAAGGACAGGCGAGAGATGAGGTCGCTGGTCTGCGCATATATATATAGTCTGAATCGTATATGTAATGAGAGAGAGAGAGAGAGCGAGAGAGTTTTGAGTTGTAATTTGTAACCGAAGGGAAGGAAAGGGCGTTGGAAATCCCTCCTGAAAAGAAAAACAGAGACTGACAGTTATTACTGGCCTTCAGAGTTTTTTGCTTTTTCTTTTTCTTTTCTGGAAAGGGCTTTTTTCCTTTTTTTTCTTTTCTGTCTATTTTTTCTTTTTTCAAGAAATTTTCTTCCTTTTTTTTCTTTTCTTTCCATTTTTTCTTTTTTGAAAAAATTTTCTTCCTCTTTTTTTTGAAGAAATTTTCTTCCTTTTTTCTTTTCTTTCCATTTTTTCTTTTTTGAAGAAATTTTCTTCCTATTTTTAGTTTCTGATCCATGAATTTCTAAGAGTAATGATTTTTTTCACTCACGTTTTCTCTTTTGCACTATTTGTCTTTCTTTTATTTATTAATTACTTTTAATTTATTCAATTCAAAAACTTGAAAAAAAAAAAGAAGATTGCGAGATCACTACTTGTCTCGAATTGCAACATTACAAACAAGATTGGTCCAGAGATTTTTGAGGCCTAGGGCAAAGCCAAAAAATGTGCCCTCACTTCATGTAAAAAAATTATTTGTTTTTACATGTAACACATTGATAAAATTATATTTAGAAAAACACTTCAAACTCAGTAATTTAGAAATATGGAAAAACTAATTTATTTTGTATCGAGAGAAGGAAACAAAAAAACTTCAGGCTTACAAGTAGATAGATTATGAGTTTTGTCTTCCATTTGAACTTTTAAAGTGTTAATATATAAATCGTGTGGTGTTTTTTCTTATTTACTAACCTTGTCAATATAAGATTAAAAAAAATAATGATATTTTCAAGTCTTTAGGGATATGTGTAATTAATGAAAGGGCACCAAATTAAACATTTGGATGACACGTCATATGATTTGCAAATTTGGTCTAAAAATTTAGTTTACACATTACCCTTTGTTGAAGATTAGACTTGAATTGGAACGAATGTTTAAAAATAGCAACTCACATAGTTACTAGCTAGTAATTAAAAATAAATTAACAACCAAACAAAACTAGCTAGTAATTAAAAATAAATTAACAACCAAACAAAAATTCGTAAAAATTGAAAAAAAAATAAACATGCACATAGCATTTTGAATATAGGACCTCTCGCTAATTTTAAATACAAAAATCATTGCTTCTAATTAAACTTCTAATCATTTAGCCAAATTTTATAAATTTATACTGTGATGACCCGTCCCAAATTAAAATTTATTATATCCTTGAACTTGTGGAAATGACGGTTTTTCCCTTGTGAGCGTTGTGATGTGAATGTATGTATATGGTTTAAATTATTGCCCCGTTGACAAAAAATTATTGATATTTGAGGTTATGAGGGTGTCGATGTGAATTAGTGGCCAAGTTGGATTCATAGTGGAAATATTAGTAAGGAAGAGAGGAAATCGAGAAAGTCAAGGATAATCATCAGGATACTTGCCAATATTATTAATATATTGTAATTGATTACATTCCTTTCTTGTATTATAAGTTGTCAATTAGTAGCTAGTTAGTAGGAATTGATTGTAAACATATGGCTACATATAGTAGTATTGTACAGAGAATTATTTTTAATGAGAATTGGTGAATTACCACTTTCCAAAATTTACATGGTACCAGAGCCCTTCCTGGGTTCTTAGTTCCTTTTTTTTTTTTTTTTTTTTTCATGGATTATGGTGGAGGATTCAACGTCTGGCATTGAAACAAAATCAGCAATGGCCAAACTTAAACCCTCTAGTGATCCTGCTAGTCCTTTCTACGTTCATCATTCTGATCATCCTGGAATGATGCTCAGTTTCAACCAAACTTACCGGTGAAAATTATGGCACTTGGTGTCGTTCCATGTCAATTGCACTCAGTGCGAAGAACAAATTAGGGTTTGTTGATGGAAGTGTTGAACAACCATCTGTGAAGACAAAGCCCACAGAATCTGCTTTTTGGCAACGGTGCAACGACTTGATCCTTATGTGGATTCTCAATACACTTTCCGACGACCTGGCCATCAGTGTGGTGTACATGACGATAGCTAAAAATGTTTGGGATGATCTTCGAGAATGTTTTTCCTCAACAAAACGTGTCTCGTCTCTTTGAAATCCAACGTGACCTTGCACGTTTTTTGCAGAGTCAACAACCTATCAATGTGTATTTCACCAAGCTTAAGGGTTTGTGGGATGAGATGGATTCCTACCAAACTTTAAAGCCGTGTTCTTACAGGGCTATCCAATCCAACAACGAACAGAACCAAGGTTTTGCAGATTTTAATGGGCCTGGACGACTCGTATTCTGCGATTCGTGGGAAGATTTTGCTTATTCAACCATTGCCTTTGATTCGATCCTTCTATTCCATGTTGACACAAGAAGAGAAGCAGAGAGGCATGGCTATTAGGCCTAGCCTTGTTGAACCTGCAGCCATAGTGGTACAAACAACCCGTGGCAACAATAACAACAATGGAAAAGGAAGATCATTCGAGAGGAAGCCATTACATTGCTTGTACTGCGATAAGGATCATGACGTTATTGAAACATGTTGGAAACTCCATGGATACCCACTGGGACACCATCTTCATGGTAAGTCCAGTGGTTTGAGTAGTTATGGTGGGCGAGACAACAAGCCGAGCGGCAAACCTGCTGTCAACAATATGGCATCCACCGTTGCACCATCCATGCCCAACCTTACCACCGAACAATTTCAGCAACTCTTGTCCATGATGAGTCAAAAGATGGGCCTTGATTCCAAGGCAAATATAGCAGGTGGGCCTCCTTCTTTCCAATGGGTTATAGACAGTGGTGCCACTGACCACATATCTAGTTTTCCATTGACTAATGCAACCTCAAATCCACCTCTACCACCCGTGGCATTGCCTAATGGGACTCAAGTTCCCATAAACTCTGTTGGCACCTACAGTTTTGGTTCCAAAATATCTCTTTATAATGTTCTTGGCATAGCTTCATTTTTTATCAACTTAATTTCCTTTAGTCGGATAACTCGATCATTGGGATGCTCAGTAACCTTTTATCCTGATTTTTTTATTTTACAGGACCTGGAGACGAGGACGATGATTGGTTGGGGGCAACAACGTAATGGGCTTTATTATTTGGTGGACTCCAAAGGGCGGACATCACCGACAACTACCTCATATCCCAAGGTTTTTTCCGTCACGTGGCATCGACGACTTGGTCATCCTTCACCCTCGAGACTCTAACTGTTAGCTAAACATTTTCCTGAAATTTCCCATTCTGAAAATAAACCTTGTGACATCTGCCCTTTGGCAAAACAAACTCGATTGTCTTTCGGATTAAGTCATATTAATACTAAGCATGCTTTTGAACTTATACATTGTGATATTTGGGGCCCCCATAGAGTAGCATCTCGTTCGGGTGCTCGTTATTTCCTTACTATTGTTGATGATTTTACTTGTTGCACTTGGGTTTATCTCATGCGTCATAAATCAGACACTCAATCTTTGGTTAAATGTTTCATTGCCTATGCTGAAACACAATTTCACCACAAAATTAAAACCATTAGAACTGACAATGGTGGCGAATTTGTTTCTATGCATACTTTCTTTAATGATCATGGCATACTTTTTCAACACTCTTGTGTTTCCACCCCTTAACAAAATGGGGTTGTGGAGCGAAAGCATAGACATATTCTTCAAACCGCGCGGGCCTTGCATTTTCAGTCACATATGCCCTTGCACTTTTGGGATGAATGCATTCTCACATCCATTTACCTAATTAACTGCATTCCTACCCCCCTCTTATCGGGGCTTACGCCTTATGAGAAATTATTTGGTCACCCTCCTTCATATACCCATTTACGCACTTTTGGGTGTTTAGCATATGCCACTAATCTTCAGCCACAACATAAGTTTGATGCTCGGGCTAAAAAATGTGTTTTCATCGGGTATCCTTTCGGGCAAAAAGCTTACAAATTATATGATCTTAATTCCAAACAAATTTTTACAAGTCGAGATGTCATATTTCATGAGACTATTTTCCCATTCCACACAACTCCTCAATTCCAAACAGTTACCCCGGACCCAAATATTGGCCTTCTACCAGGCCCAATCTCCTATCCACCCGCTCCAGTCCAACTCTCTTCCCAATTAAACCACCAAGTTACCGACCTGGGCCTTTCTCTAGTCCTTTCTATACCCATCTCTGCCACTGACGGGCTTAACCAAGTCCCAGCCGTTCTTGATGGGCCTGCTGTTTCTCTGGACCCGTGTCCAGCATCTGCCTAACCTGCCGCTACTGTCTCTCTGGATCTGTGTCCAACATCTGTAGCTGATGTCTCTTTGCGACATTCCAATCGCATCTGAGTTCCGCCAACCAAGCTCCATGATTATGTTTGCCCGACCATTACGTTGATCTCCCACCAATTCCTCGCTTTCTGGTCCTAGTACAAGGTATCCTCTTTCTAATTACTTGTCTTATCAAGGGCTCTTTCCCCAGTATCAATCCTTCATTGCACAATTATCTATTGTTTTGGAGCCTAACAGTTATACAAAACTCACTCATGGTCACTTCATCAACTTGATGTCCATAACGCCTTCCTTCATGGCGATTTCATGGAGGAAATCTACATGCTTCCACCACCCGGTCTTCGGCGACAGGGAGAAAATTGGTGTGTCGCCTTAATAAGTCGCTTTATGGGTTAAAGCAAGTTTCTCGGCAATGGTTTTCAAGTTCTCACAAGCTATTCAATCAGCTGGTTATGTTCAATCCAAAGCAGACTACTCACTTTTCACTAAGAGAAGAGGAAAGTCATTTACTGTGATTCTCATCTGTGTGGATGACATACTGATAACGGGGAATGACTTGAAAGCAATTGATGATCTCAAATCTTTTTTGAATACCAAGTTTTGTATCAAAGATCTTGGTAATTTGAAATATTTTTTGGGAATTAAGGTGGCATGATCGAAACAAGGTATTTTCATTTCACAAAGAAAGTATTTGTTGGATATCCTAAATGATGTTGGTTTTGTAGGATTACGACCTGCAAGTTTTCCTATGGAACAAAATCTAAAATTACTCCTTGATGATGGGAATGCATTAGATGATCTAGCCAAGTACAGAAGATTGGTTGGTCGGTTGATATATCTCACTATAACCCGACCGGATATTACATATTCAGTTCATTTATTGAGTAGATTCATGCAATCACCTTAAAAGTCTCATTAGGAAGATGCCCTACGCATCTTAAAGTATTTGAAAGGCACACCAGGGCAAGGCATGATGTTTCACTCTCAAAATTCATTAAAGTTAACGGACATATTGTGATTCCAATTGGGCAAGATGTCCTACCACTCGACGTTCAACTACTGGTTATTGCGTTTTCCTTGGAAATAGTCTTATTTCATGGAAAAGCAAATGACAGAAAACTGTATCCTTATCTTTTGCTGAAGTCGAATATAGATCCATGGCAGCAGCATGTTGTGAGCTTGCATGGCTCCAAAGCCTTTTCCGAGATCTTCAAATTCAAGATCAAGGGCCGGCTACCTTGTTTTGCGACAATCAAGCCGCTCTTCATATTGCAGCAAATCCGGTGTTTCATGAGCGAACAAGGCACATTGAGATTAATTGTCACTTTGTTCGAGATATGATTATGGAAGGAAAAATTGTGACGGGATTTGTTCCTTCCATATCACAACTTGCTGATTTGTTCACTAAAGCTCTTGGAAAGGAAAGATTTCATTCTTTGCTCGGCAAGTTAGGAGTTCGCAACATTCACTCACCAACTTGAGAGGGAGCGTTGAGAAAGTCAAGGATAATCATCAAGATACTTGCCAATATTATCAATATATTGTAATTGATTACATTCCTTTCTTGTATTATAAGTTGTCAATTAGTAGCTGGTTAGTAGGAATTGATTGTAAACATATGGCTACATATAGTAGTATTGTACAGAGAATTATTTTTAATGAGAATTGGTGAATTACCACGTTCCAAAATTTACAAATATTAGTAGGGAAGAGAGGAAATTGGGTTGGACCCAAATTGCACGAGCTTGGCCATGCAGCCTAATTAGGACTTAGGACATTTTAAAATGCCCAATTCCGTTGGACACATATACACACATATGCAACCTTCTTCCCTTTTCTCTATTTTTCTCGAAAATTCTTTCAGTTCGTACAACCGAGCCTTCAACCTTCAAACACCACAGATCGAACTTCTAAAGACCACCTTTGGATTCCTTGCAAGCCTACGAACCTAATCATACCAGTTGTTCAAAGAAAGGATGCCAGGAACTCGAGAACTCGCAAGCTCCGGCGGGGTACCCTGTTACTCCAACATGATCGTGGATTTTTCACAGTATTTTAAAGCCAAAAAAGGGTCCTAAACGTTTCTACTAGGATCCTAGGCTAGTTTTGGAGTGGTTAGAACATTGAAACGCTTGGGTCTGTCGAGTTTTAGGTTTGGCCAGTTGTGTCGAGGTATTTTCCTACTGTTTTTAGTCGGTGTTAGGACTTCATAGTGGTAAGATCATGTTCTACTCATCCAAGGCTTCAATTTGATATAAGTTTTATAAATTTGGTTGAAAAATGGTGAAGATATTAAAGTTTTTCCAGAAACCGATGAGTGCAACGGTGGCCGGTGCCGGAATCAGGCGAACCATCGGAGAAGATAAGGAATATTCCGTCAACTTTGATGGAATATACTAACAGCGTAAGGTAAAACCGTTAGTTTTTAGACGGTATATGCTGATATTTAATGGAATATTCCCTAACGTCATTAGGGAATCCGTTCGTGTGTTAGGCATGTGCCCGCGCTTGGCCGGTGTGTGGGATGTTGGTAAATTATTCTGAAAATACGAGGATGGTTGGGGTGTTGAGTAGGCCACGATAGTATATTCAAACACCTCAATTGAGCAACGTATGAGAAGTTATTTCATAGAGATGGTTATGTGCTTAAAAATAACATTAAAATAATTGTTTCACATGTAGGTGAGACATTTCTAGAGGACGAGCACAGCCAGGCGAGACTTGGAGGTTACGACCCGGCTACATACTAGTGAGTGGGCTTTTGAGTTATATATATGCCTTATGTTTCCCAAAAACTGTTTAAATTGTGTTTACGTTTTAAATGCCATGTCGTATGCATTACATATTAGAATATGCTTTATTATAGCTGTGCATATTACTGCTCGACGTTGTGGACGCTCATGTAAGTTTCAAGTGAGTATATAGCAATGGTTGTGATGGTAGTGTGTATGATTATGATGAGTTGCTTTCAGTGATTTATATCCTGCACCCTGGTGTTAGTGCTCCGCCCGAGGGTAGGGGGTCTTCACGTGATCGTTCACCTTCCGCACCATACGCTTACCTTGGATCCAAGGAAGGTGCCAACCTGTCGTACATACCACATTATGGTATTATTAGAATGTCCATTGTACCAAGTCTTAGGCACACCCGTTCGCATTCAAAGATATAAGGTTTCCTTTAATAAAAAGTTAATGAAATTATCCATATACGACGTTCTATTTTGACAACCTCCTCATTTCTCCAACATATCCACATTATTATTGAAATCACCAATTAAGTACCAAGGTTTATTATGTGGGTTAAGTTTAAGGATATCCTCCCAAAGAGCTACCTGCAAATGTTTTTGGGGGAAAGCACACACAAACGTAATGCATTGTTCATGATCATTATGAAAATCCTTAGCGACACAATGGATACAACGAGAACTTAAATTCATCATATTAATGGCCACCTTGACCGAGTTCCACAGAAGACAAATCCCACCAGCCTTACCTAGGTTTGGCCATTTCTTAGACAACTCGTTAACCCAACTCTAAAAGACAAGAAATTAACAGGTTTTAGGTCGACACGAATTGGGTCGTTATCAGGTAACTCGATAAACACTTGTTAAAATAATAGGTCGATCCAGGTATACACGCGGGTAACCCAAATCCAACCTAATTCCCTATTTGGAAAATGAGGTAATATATTTTTATGTGATATAATACTATTATTTTATTTCTTTTTTATAATTATTTTTGGTACACTTCTCATAATTTGAATGGTTTATAATGTTTAGTTTTTGTATATTTAGTTTATGCGGAAAAGTTCTGATGTGGAAAGCCTTATTGAAAACATCATCAATATAATCTTGAAGAAAATAGATCAAGCCAAAGTTCCACTACCATTTATCCATGATGAATGATGAAAATTGAAAGATTTTGTAAAAAGAACAACATGCAAGCTTTGAGTTGGCAAGGTTTTAACTTCTAAGAAAGGTTCCACAACTTTGAAACGAAAAAACTCCTTTATTTTGCATATTCTTACACATTTGATAATTTGTAGTAGTATATTGATGTTCTTTTATTAGGCTTTACTTAATGACAAATGTGTTTTTATGTTTTGAAGAAATATTTATGTGACAATATGTTATGTGCAAATTTTAAAAAATATTTTTTTTTCTTAATGGGTAAAATGATCCGACCTGTTAAGAACCCATTTAAATAATGTGTGTGACACTCGATGATCCGTTAAGATAGCAGGTGTTACATGAAAATGACACAAACACGACCAATTTGTTAGACCTAGCCCTACCAATGGGATTACAACAAAAAACATTATAGAATGCCTCCCATAAAAGTTCCTTGGGACCATCTCCAAATCCATTTTAGTTTCTAATAAACATAAAAGGTCCAACTTCAATAAATTACGCAAAAAAACTAAAATTCCTACTAAAATCCAGTCCCCTAGACGTCGGCAATTCCAAATTATGCACTTGATTAATCAATTTCTTCAAGTAGACTCTTGTAGCTCGATCTTGCTTCTGCAATCTCCTTTCGGACTCATTTTCTCATACTTAACACTCCCTCGCTTGGCTTAGGAGAGGCCATCGCAACTTTTGCTACCACGATGGATGTAACAACATCCCTCACTGCCCAACTACTCTCCCCCACATTCCTATTTCCCTCCTGAATCACTACATCCTAGAAATTTAAAGTACATTTATCGACATCAATTTCAAACAAACATAACACATTACCATCATGAACAATCAACAGGTCATACTTAATCATAAAACACCCATCATTTACTTCCTCTTCAGGGCATGAGTCAGCCTCAATCCTTGTACGCCCACAGTAAAAACACACTTCAAACAATTTCTCATAACTAATGAGAATAAGCTTATCATCATCATCCTTGCTGACAATCAACACCTCAGATCTACTTCAACAAATACTTTCACAGACAAACCACTTAAACCTAACGTGACTTCATCAACTCTATTAATATCACATAGAGGTTGGGCAATAACCTTGATGATAACAACTTCCTTGTATTGCACAAGGACACAAGGCAACTTTAGCCCCCACCACCATCTTGTTGATTGCAACATGTCACTCAACTGACTAGCCAAGCGCTCCAAGTGAAAAATCTGACCACAAACATACCAGGGTCTATTCTTCATCTAAACTCAAATTTGAATCTTCCTCTTTATAGTTTAGATGATAATAGTGTATATTATCGTTTGCAAAATCAAAATAAAAATAAAAAGTTAGTGAAAACTTCTAAAAGTTTATTTAAAAATAATGCAAGTGATTTTTTTTTATACAATGATATATTTACACTAAGGGGCAGATGAAATAAATTAGTATGAAACTCGTCATTCATAAGATTCAAACCGAAAATTTGTAGACTTGGACGCTTCCAGTGGGCCACCATTTGGCCTTTTGGTTGAGAGAGATGCCTCATTCATGAGGCAAAATACTACGGTGGTGCCGTGGCGGTATACGTGTCATGTAAATTGCTCCCCTCATCGTTAAGTTCTCTCAGACTTTCGTACACATGTATACCAAAAGATGGCTCATTATCAATATTTTCTCTAGTATACTAGGCATGTTTAGGATTAATTCTGAAATTGCTAAAAATGCTTTCTGAAAACTAAAAGTATCTCTAGTGCTTCTTCAGGAAGTACTACCAATTGGTTTTTCAAAGAAACACTTGAAATTTTAATAAAAATCTCGATGCATTTCTAATTGAAACACTTCCAGCAAAAACGCTTAAAGAGAAGTCGGAGAGGGATTAAAACCATGTAACTTTACTGTCTTGTGTTAATATGAGCACCAATAAGAGGTTCAAGATTTCCGTCTAAAACAGACATTAGATCAGGTAGTTGGATGCCTGTTTTTACATCCTTGACCAGCTTGTGTGGATAAGACATGTACCTTCTCGTCTCCTTCTCCCACAGATTCACAATCTCATCTTTCTTGATATTGCTAACCTCGCTAACACCTTGTTCCAATGCAAGGATCAGAAGCTTGCCTTTCAACCGGTTAATTGCCTTGATCTTATTTGCAAAGTGACTCCTCTCGCCTGCACGATTTACAGCAGATTTGCACGAGAACAAAAGATTATGGATTTTGAAGTGAAAGATAAAAGGCTTTCTGCAAATGATATTGCTGTCATAGTCCTCTAGATATATTGTTCGACCCTAAAGAGCTCAATTTAAACTAGAAGGTATGTAATGGCTACTAGTAAAAGGAGTACCTGATGATTGAGCACTTATGCCTGTAAGTTTATGCTGGATGGACACTGTAGGTTCAGTTTGGTGCTGCTCTTCAAGCACCGATGGCAATGCAACGACCAAGTTGTCGTTGTCAATTTCTAGGTCATGGGCTTTTCCAAGAAACAAAGGAAACACATCCACACCTGCTGAGCTAGCCTGCAAGACATTCATATTTCACAAAGGTAAAATTACCAGTCCAGATTGTCAAAGAAACGTAATGAAACTACTATAATGATTATTTTGAAGCACTCGTCCTATCACAAGGCCCTAGTCTCTGGTTTGCAGTGTGTGACCGAATTATAATATATGCAGCAAAGAATTGACCAAGGCGAACCAAACACATGAGAAGTAGATATATCCTTAACATTGACTGTTGGCTAAATGGATCTAATATCTGACAGATCCATTTTGCGAAGTTGTAATATAGTGAACAAAAAGAAATCTTTACCGTAGGCAAATCAGACACATTTTGCGAGCTTGTAAGATAGTGAACACCTGTCTCTCCTGAAAGATACCCATAAGCAAATGCAAATTCAAACTCAATAGTTGCTGATGTGATGCCACCATTTGTGGAAGAATGCTTCTCGACTACCCTCCCTTTATAACCTAGCTTTTTGGCCCATTTGGTATACATGCTCAGTAGTTGTTTTACCCATACCTGTTACAGAAATTTTTGAAATGAAGTTACACAGAATAAAAGTGTGTATGCGTGTTAGAAGAGAGAGAGAGATAGAGAGAGAGAGAGAGAGAGAGAGAGATAGTACAAATAGCATTTAGGTCTAGAGTCACATTTTCAGTACTGCATTGGTCCATACACACTACAGATTCTTACTGTTACGTTTCTTACTTGTATAAGCGAGAAGAGTATTGTTTAATCAGTTTATGTTACTAAAGCCCTATGTTTACAAGTGCAAACTTGGTTCTCATTAGGAACTTACAACCCACTATTACTCAATACTGAGGTTAACTACGCACCTTAGGGCATTCAAACTCGTAAGTAAGCAATCTTCCTAATTTTTCTTTTCATTTTACCAGATCCTAAGGTTTGTGGTGTATCGAGCTCCTTTTCCATTCAGCCGATTGCATTCTATTTCTAGGTAACATGAATGATTAACAAAAACTACCACCTTCATTCATAATGGCCCATGGTACCAAGAGAAAAAGTAGATAATCATACCTCAGGGTAGCCTTCACCTCCAGCTTCGATAGTTAGACATGCTCCCTCCATGTCATATGGTCCCTTCAGAAGCTTGGACATCTCATACTGATCCAAAAGCTTGCTTACATCTAGAGAGGCATCATATGCTTGCCTAAAAAGCCCATAATTTATAGCGTCTACCTCTGCTAACTGTGTTATTAGCTTTGCTTCTTCAGCCTACATAGATAAGCAACTCTAGTCATCATCCATATCAAAGCAACACTATCAAAGCTACTTTTTGACAATTTCTGCATATATATAGGGAGATATTAAAATGAATATGCAGATCACCACACTTGACGTCGATGGGTAAATAAGTGATTGACGTGCATCAAATGTTGAGCAGGAAGTACATCTCAATATTGCATAATTGCAAACCAGTTGATAACATGAAATAACTACAAATTAAAGATGTTGCCTAATGTGTCACCTTAAATGTCAAGTCTTTGAGAGCATCAACCACTTTAGCACTGGTAGCTAACTTAGCAAGAATCTCATTAGACTTTGCTGTGTCATCCCAAAGGTTATAGTCTCGTATCTGTTGTTCCTGCTTATTTCTTCGTGCTTCTTCAAGTTCCAATGCCATTGGAGCCAACGTCTCAGCTCTGAGAACTGTATCTTCAATCTTCTTCTTCAATGAAAATAATCCTGAACAAAATTCAGACAATCATTTTGAATCCCATGTAATAAATAAATAAATTGTATTACTGATTCATACTCTAGAGCTGTGTGTGACGGTAAATACTCATTAATTTCTGATCAGTTCACTGATTTTCTGAACATAAGCAACAACTGACATCCTGCTTTAGGATCTTCAATTAAGCTTTTGTTTGTGAAATGGAAACATGCATAAATTTCATCCTTTTTCGCACCAGTTACAGCTGAAGGGTTTTGTTTTGTATATCCCACAACTACAAGCAAAAAGCGAATGGTTTTAATAACCTACTGTCAAATTTCACCACTCGAAACTGATGCATCCGTATACTATAGTACAAATGCCTCAGCCCTTTTTATACCCTTCCAATAATTTTTTAAACAAACATCCAAAACTTATGCAGAGAGGTGTCGTGGAGCACGACATTAGCATGACTGACCCGTTTCACCCTCTAAACAATAAGCATCTTATATTTAAACACCAAACACAATCACAGAATAGTCTCCCCGATGCCCCTTCCTTAACATCCTCTTTCCTTTTCCCCCAAGTATAGGTCCCAACATCTTTTTTTTCACTCAAGACCGGACTCTTGCTATGCGGGCAGAGGATAAGCGTTGTACTACTGGAGCTAGAAGCCCCATAGATCCTATCATCTTTGATAAACACTTGTTAAACCTTCCAATCTACTCCCCCTTCCCAACCCCAAATTGATTTTACAGAACAGAATATTTCATGCCTTTAAATTACAAAGATATACAGAAATTCAAAGCCTTATAGTACCTCACTTAGACCAAAACATAAAACTTCAAAAAATACTCAAAAGGATAATACTTTAGACATAATCTTCACTTAGGACCCAGCAATATGCATTTTCCAAATTTGAATTCTTGCAATAAATTCACAGAAAAACAAAGTTATTTTAGCATAAAGTTGCTTAATTTTCAGTTGGGTCTGCCCAATTCAAAACACCTCATCAGTAACAGCTATACATATACATACAAGAACACATGAATACATATTTAGAAAGAGAGAGAGAGAGAGAGAGAGAGAGGAGACCCAGTTGTTTGGAGGCCCTGTTCCTGTCATCCACGCAATGAGTGTGTAGCGACCGGTGGCTCTTTCTTTGGGAAGCTTTCCAATTGAAGCTGAATAAGGCGGCGGCGGCGGAAGCAGCAGCGGCGGTGGTGGTACCATTTCTGAGAAACGCGGATTCTGCGGCCAAGCTTGCCATAACAATGAAAAGGGAAAATTATGTTTCAGAAGAGAGAACAGCTGAGGCCACGTGGGGTGTGGACATCCGTACGTATGGGAATACTAGGTTGTCATTGCTGTCGGAGGCGGAGGACGGAGGACGGAGGAGTAAGTTGCTTGGCCTCCTCTCTCCTGCATCTTATCCTCAATATTCTAGACCGTTGCTCATGTTTTTTTTTTTTTTTTTTTTTTTTTCGGAAACTACCGTTGGTCATGTCAAGACAGACTTTAAAACCTGAAAGAAGTGAAATTCCTACTGTCTCACTGTTCCAAAATAAGTGGATAATCGTAATTTGTCTACGGGAAATTGGCTTGAATAGCACTGTTGCAAAATCATCAATCTAAAATAGCCTTCAATTTTGTATAAAAAAATATTGACGTCATATCAATACTATACCGATAACATATTCAAATTAATATTAACATTTTGAAACAACACAATATCTTTCCTGAAAACTTAGATCATGTTTAATGTTAATCTAGAAACAACACAATATGTTCAAAGACGTTCATAGAGAGGTATTTAAATTAGAGTATTTTTGTCAAATAAGACTTGTACATATTGAATTTTAGGGAGTGGGGTTATTTGGCATTGTTTGCTTTGCAATAGGGTTTCTGAACCCAATTCCCTAAAATAAATAAAATGGCGTTGACACCTTAAAAAATGTGCACAACTTTAGTTCATTGGTTTTAAATGGTGGGACCCATGATCGTCTTCTAGTATTCAGCTTACAAGAATCGAACAATTTGAAAATTTTCGGTTGTTGGCTACTGAATTTTACATTCGTTTTCAATTGTTTGCTAATGAATTCTTACATATTTTTCGGTTTGCTGCTGCTAAATCATAGGACTGGATTTCTAATTTTAGGTTGTTTGCTACTAAATTATGGGACCTCTGTCAGCATAAAGCAACCAAAGATTTTGAGAATTTTTTCGATTTTGACTACTGATTTGTTATATTAGTTTTCGGTTGCTTGTTAGTCCATTGATTGCAAAAGACTAATATTTTGCGAATTTTTTGGTGATTGACTACTGAACTATTGCATAATTTTCAGTTGGTTGCCATCTAATATTGTATCTTATGATGCCTCAATAGTTATTTATTTCTTTTATTTTGGTTGAAAGGGGGCTAAGAGTCCAAACAAGAAATCTAGGCCTTGAGATCTTAAGCCGATCTTCACAGACAAAACTATTCGAACATGAGCTTTATCAAAATAATGATTTCATAGGTCTAGACCAAGACTCGAGTTTGCCAATAAGAGTTCCAAAAAGGGAAAAAGAAAAAGAGGACAACTTATTTCTCTGCTAACACAATACATAATTCGAGTTCAAGTTGGATTACGTTTCAACCATTTATGCGTCATTTGTTATTCGTGAGCAAGTCTTGAATAAGGAAAACAACTTATATGATACGGGTTTATAGTCATATAACTTCAAGTGCCAATAAAACAAGGACATATAGACAAAACAAACTTACATATTTTTATTTCATAGACACGGGACATCACCGTGACAATGTACCCGTACCATGCAACTGTGCAAGTCCTCCTCAATAAGTACAACCAATGCCCTAAGTCTTGGAAAAATTTAAACCTTGATTAATAAATACTAATGCTTCAAAAGCATTCCTGCATAAAAGCCTTTTGACAATCTGTTTCTGTCCTTATGAGGAAACCAAACCATCTTAATTTCTTGGTTCAACATATGCATACAAATAATTATACTAAATGTACAGAAGACTTTACATTTTGATTCTATCTTCCTCTTTTATTCGACGTACGGTTATGCGACACAGACATTTATATATGCAATTTTCTCATCAAAGTCAGAGGGACTCTGCAAACTGGGGAGCCTCCAGGTCAAGCTCTTGTCTCATGACACAGTTCATAAGCCAGTCACTGCTAAAAGTCCATATCCCCTTCTCTACGGCCAACGATACTTTTTCCATATCTTCCTCGCATGCCACAAAGATTGTTTTTGAAGCTTCGTTTACTTTCTCCAGTTCACCAATAATCTGTAGTTTCATCTAGTAATCAGTGGCTGGCTATGATTATATATATACATATCAAAGTGAACTATTAAGAAATAATTTACGTAGAATATCTGTTCAAGAAAAATCAGTTTATAGGTTCATATCCCCACGGCATTGTAGATAATAATCGATTCAAAGAGTTACAATCATCAAAATCCACAACCATGCTTCTGATAACCAGTAAAGATCAAGCACGATGAACCTAACACTGGTCATACAATGAGTTCTGAGCAGTAAAATGAAGGTGGGAACATACACAACATGTTATGTTGAAGTTGCAGATATCATGCTCAACCTTGTGTACACATTTGAGAAACTAAAGATAATATCGTGCAGTTTTGTAAAACATGCATTTTCCTAAAGCATATCGTGCCGATTTGGTAGATATCATTTTCTGAAAATGGAATTTATAAGCATGACATACAAAATGCACGATGTCATTCCCCTAAAGCATTACAGAATGTTCGCACTTTCAATGACAGACATGCATGCTTAAACAATGCTCAGATTGATCAGTAAAGAGCTTACATGTCCACCAGCAGACCTTACAACGGAAGACAACATCCTAGCAGGAGGTTGAACACAAGCTGCTATGCATACATTATAGCCTTTGAACAAGCCTCGGGGACTTGCCTTCGCTCTGAGAACTGCACTTCTCAACTCAGTTCCGTATTTAAGTACGTATTCTTGATCATTCAATATGTAAGATGATTCATCTGCAAATGAGAAGCCCAACAAATGTTTTTCATTTTTTGTCAACCCAGCAAAGGTTGAGTATCAGTAATAAAACAAAACCAAGTAGTCAATCTGACTCACCGACAAATCTTCCTTGACGAAAGCTTTCTTTCAACCAGGACGGACAAACCATCCAAGCCCTGCACAGCCAGAAAGCTCTATGAATAAATAATGACATAATCTGGACAGACAATTGATAAAGGTTGATGCTGTATAAAATACCACTAGCTGCTAAATCATTGAGAACATAAAATGTAATAGATTTGTGCATCAGCAGTAGCAGCAGTGAAAGAATAAAGAGAACTTTTAGAAAGTTGACTACTAACCCTGAACAAAGAGCAGTACAGAAATTCAAAGTGGTTCTCACTTTCCCAGTGACAAGATGTGTGCTTGTACTTCCATCAGATGTAATCACACCACCAAGGTCCTCAATTACCTATACATCAAACAAATACAAAAATCAACAAAACTCAAAATATTTATATGCAGTGAAGCGAAAAAGAACTAAATATCATTCCAAAAATATTGGACAGTGACACTAAAGTAAAAAACCATTATCAATATAGAAAGAAAAAGCAAATGAAATGCATGAAATTATCAAAAACAAAACAAATCAGGACGCCTCCTGATTTATATGACCAACAAGTTCATCTTTTCTAGTAAAATATATTAGTGAGGACTATTGGAGATCGTATTCTTTCAGGAGAGAGTATCGAACCTAACCAATATGAATTCAAGTCATCCGTGCAGACTAGAGTAAATGAAAGTATGCATATGAAGGCTCGGCACTACGGAATTGCTTTATGTACAACAACGTCAAAATTCCATCCATATAACCCATGGAATGGTACCATAAGAACCCTTAATACTATACTACCACATTTATGTTTTCAAGGAAAATGCATATCCAAACAGAGAGTATTTTTCCTTACAAAATTTGTAATACTAGTTAAACCTTTTGAATTCACTGTTCATTGATTCCAATAAATCACGCTGACCTGAACATGGCGGGTACATTTTTTCCCAGACTGGCCAGGATTCACTCAAAATTGGACCATCTCCAAGGTCCAAGCTTAATCCATGATCAGGTCATGCATAGAAAGAAACCATTGAGCAAGATAGAACTGTATTCTATCACCCTCTAACTCTAAGATATTTAAAAACCCCTTACTAAAGTCAAAATCAAACAGATATCTACTAGGTCCATTCAGAAGCATCAGATTCTTCACCCCACTTTTCTTGTACGTTGTGTTCAAAAGTAGAGAAGTACGATTGAATAAATCGCACATACAACACACAAATTATGCATGATAAGAATCATGTTGTGGTACCAAACTGCAGTTTGCAGATAGAATAAAATGGGATTTTTTATATCCCGAAAAATAAATGCTAAAATAAAATTTTGATATTTGCATCATTTTTTTTATAGCTGACAATCATAAGTAATAAAATGGGCATACCTTTGTGAGATTAGCTTTCTTTCTATTGTCAGCAATATTCATCAACATGATTTTAAATAATTCTGGCTGTGACTGAAACTCCTTCCTGACTAAAGTTTCTGATGTTATATTAATTAGTCCGCATTCTTCAGCAATATTTTCCTCGTGACTACTAGCCAGAAGATCTCTAGGATGATCTGCCACTAAGGATTTGCATTTGGAAGAAACTAAGGAGCATCCTTTCAGACAAGAATCACTTCCATCAGTTTCTGGAACTAAACTACAGTTAGACTCGGATCGGAAGCCAACCAGATGGCATCCCTTCACTTTTTTTGACTTCAATGAAGACGTTGAAGCTTCCCAGACCTTTCTCTTTGCACATGAAGGTTGTTTGGAACAAGGTAAGTGGGTTTCATCAGCATCAGTTCCAATATTGGATAATTCCGCACCACTGCTCAACATGCTGGGGTCCACTCTGGTGAGAGGAACTGAATCCCTGTAACGCTGCAATTTCTCCCAAGACCCATAACCTATAAAAACACAGAGATTTTCAATTCTCATCGTGATAAAAGACGTAAGTTTCTTGTCAGTGGCTGAACATCGGTAGATTAGTGCTTGAAAGTAAAATACAGTCATTTTGATTAAGCATTGTCATAATGGTTTGATCTACGCCAAGAAGATGTGCATTATGCATTCATATGCTGTCCAGACATTCCTTTTGTTTATAGTATAATTCAAAGAACTGGACTATGCGCAAATCTACCTACCTACAGACTGGTTATCTTCTCTTGGAAGGCCATCATTGACCAACGCTTCAGGCTGATAATTTTCACTTCTTGAAGACGTTTGATTTTTTGCATTCAGAGTATTGCGATTCCCTCTAGAAAATTCCAGCACTTGGTTTCCCAAAGCAGCAGATGAATTTCCATTAGGCTTCAAGGAAACTCCCAACTTCAAAGAGTCTGAAGTATTCCCGGAAACATCCTGGTTAAGATGTAAAACCATGAGGGTTGAACCACCAGGAAAGCACAATGCTTTGCGGATGTCAGCTTTAATAGGTAATCTGCAGCGTCTACCTTTGGCATCCACCTCAGCTATTGGTACAAAACCCTGCAATTTAATCAATTTCAGGACAGCTTCAAAATTGAAAATCAAATGAAGACCTTGACATATCTTAGAGAAAATGAGTGAGAAAGCATGTTGTAGTTCATTTCCAAATACATTTATCAACAAAATAATACAATTACTTTTCCTGCTCTGGTCCTGAGGATTTATATCATCAAAATTACCTGTTTAAACCAAAACCCTTCAGATTCCTTGTCACCCCAACAGAATATTGTACATATGCCTACACTCTGAAGTCTCTTTCTCAACTCCATGAACAAGGAGCTACCAAATCCCTGGAATTACTAATTCATGTCAGATAACCAATAAAAGAAATTTCCACATAACCACACAAAATCCATCATATTACTAAAAAGAGTGAACATGAGGAGAATATCAAAAGGCATATTAGTACAAACCAAACAAATATGCAAAATATATGACACTAGAATAGAAAAAACTTCGCATGCTGCAATTACAACTCAGAACCCAAAATATTTCTAATTTTCAAGGATACTGAAAAGCAGAATTTATGGATGTCCCCTCTCCCTCTTTGAAACAGTTGACTATAATCCCGCATGCTTTGGAAGTTATTATAAGGACTTAATAACAGTATATCTCTATCATATGTAAAAAGCTACAAAACTGAAAGAAAGGAGTATTTCATCAGGTGCTGGTACTATACTAAGAACCAGATAGTGTATTATTGGGGTAAGTGTGTTGTCATTCCTAAGATTGCAAACTTACCTCTCAGAGAAGCAGCATCCCAACACTACACAAACCCCTAATCTTAAGCCAAAAAAAAAAAAGTTCTAATGAGAACTAACAAAAAGAAGAGAGGATAAAAGACCTTGCGTTGGTAGTGAAAATTAACAGCAGTCAGAGGAATCTCAGCATATTGTGTGTCAGCAGGAACTATTTGGTAACTGATTGCAGCTATAACCTGCAAAAAGAAAGCACAGGGCAAAAGAAGAAAAGTGACCAACAGTATTAGTTGGAAGGAAAAAAAGGGAATTAGCATTTCCTTTCCATGCATTGTTAAGGACAAAAAAGGTCGGTTAATGAGAAGAAAGAACCTAGCAAACCTACCCCTTCAGAATCTGCGAGAGACTGAGATTTATAAAACAAAGTGCAGTATTTCCTGTAGAGAGAACCTAAAAATGATCAAAAGCCAACTAGCAAACATATGGTTTATTAGTAATTAAATACTAACAAGCACCGATGCAATTTCATTTTATGATGTGAATATAAGGGATGAAAATGAAAAGGCACACAGCTAAGTAACTGTTTATTAACAAAAATAAAAGAAAGTTTCATAATCTTACCCATTTGTAACAGATCTTTTTAAAAACATTGATTGCTTTCCAGTATTAGCAGCAAAATTCATAGCAGGAAGTTCCCTAATGTACATTTTCAGTACTTCCTACAAGTACAAACTCATATAAGTTCAATCCTTAGCCGAAACATAAAAATGCCCGGTCAATAAAACAAACAAGGGAGGAAATAGATTCATTCAATTACCTGGAGATAAGATTTTTGACAGCTATTGGCATCTTTGGGATTCACGAGCACGTACGAAAGATCACCCCCTAAATATATCCAGAAATAACATATAAACTCTGCCCAAATATTACACCTCCAACTACAATTTTTTCAAATAAACCAATTTAATTTACCTCTCTCTTCAGATTCCAAATGCGCGGCAATACTACAATCGCCATTATTTCTTTCCACCTCTTTCCTCACTACCAAAAACAACAACCCAGTAAGTAAAAACCCTGGATAACTTAAATAAGAATGGGTAAAAAATTAAAGACCTTTGTTTAGAATTTAAGAAACCCATATCCTTATTGTATTGGATACGGCAAAATGGCACCTGAGATGGTGACTTTGGCGCTTCTGGAGAGGGATATTTGGAGGGAGTTTGGGTCCGACTGGCAACTGAAATTGTTAGCTTCGACTGTGACTTGGCAATTACCTGTCAATGACATTAACAAGCAATTAGAGTAAGTGAGAGAGAGGATGAATGAGATCGAATTTCTAGGGTTAGGGTTAGGGTTTGTTCTTACCGATTGGGATCGGGGGAGACGATGAAGCGGTCTTTCTAGGCGCCATAACAAAACGAAAGTGTGGTTTTTTATTTTTCAAGTGGAAGAGAAGGGGATGGTTTAAATAGGCGCGAAGAAGAAAAGATTTCAAGTAATTACCCACGAAGCTACGTGGTGCAATATATTTATGACACGTGTCGTTTTTGAAGCTCTCCCTGTCCCCAAACACTTGCTATCTCCGCAACCAATCACTACAAGATCTCCCACTCAATTTCTCTCCTCCCTCTTCGTCAACTCTGACAGCTGACCTCAACCCCAACCACCAACATCATTAATAATATATATTTACAATTTTCCAAATCAAATAATTAATAAAACTCTATAAGCATAAGGGACATAATTAATAAAACTCCAAAAGCACGAGATTTGCAAAATGTGATCAAGTAGCGTTGTTATAAGTTGTGGGGCATGCTGTCTTCAACATCATAAAAACTGTATCACCCAATTAGATCTTCACTTCAAGGAAGAATGTAAAAAGCATCACAATTCACAATTGAAATATGTATAGAAAAAAGGTGTAAAACATGAAAATACAGAATGACACACCACGATCGAGACCAGGGCGTGCTGGCCGTCACGTGGAAGTGACGTAGCCATGTGCACAGTGCGGAAGCTAATAAAGTAGTAACGTAAAAGTACGAATAATCAAAAACTAGCATACATAAGATAAAAGTAATAAGTGCTAGCGTAAGTGAGACGCTAAGTTCAGAGCTGACCTAGAGCAGTCCAAACTAAAATAGCGTTACAACAGGGCACCCGAAGGTGAACCTACGCTGGTGAACGTCTGTCAGAAATGCGGGGAAAGCCCTCTGGGACACCACCAACCTTGCTAGCTAGCTAGAACCTGGAGGGGCGCAAAACAAAAGCGTGAGTGGGCAAAAACAAAGCTTTTCGAAAACCATTTCAAAAACAAGATTCTAACCCCTCGCCGTAAAACCTGTATACTTCCCAGAAAATAAACATATGAACGTATATATAGATATGCCAAATCATGCTCAATAATATGTATCCCAAATCTCACGATGAAATGCAAGTGCTCAGGTATAAATCACATCAATAATATATAATCTGGCAGCCGGAGTCATCTAACGTGACCTGTACGACTGCATCTAGAGCTCAAATCTCAATATCAATAACTAAACCTGCCCACGAGTCGGAACCACCTAAAGTGGTCTGTACGACAGGCCTGGGTGTAATACATATAAACGCTCTAGTGCTACGATCAGGTGAAGGCTGTGCAAATAATCGCGGGTCACCTACGAGTCGGAACCACCTAAAGTGGTCTGTACAACAGGACTGTGCACCTAACTGGGATCCAAGCTGAGCGTGTGGTGCGGGAGGCGAACATCACGTGAAGGACTGTGCCCTACTCTGGGCGGGAACACTAACACCAGGGGTGCAGGTTATGAGCTCTCTCAGCATCTCTAATCACTATTGAATGCAAATATGAAATAACGCTTACCTGGCACTTACCTGTACGTCCACAGCACCAATTATGCATACGTATATATATACGATTAATAAAACTACTAATGATGCATAAGGAACGATAATATAACACATGGCATATAACTAATAACATTTAAATCAATTTCTGGGAAAATATAAGTATATAGGTATATACGGAAAACCAAAAGCCCACTCACTGATATGTGGAAGGGTCGTAGCCCCCCTGCGTCGAGTGACCATGCTCGTCCTCGGGATACATCTCACCTATATGCGAAAATACTATAAAAACGTTAATTTTAAAGCACATAACCTTCCTTTCGTAATAACTTCTCATACATTGCTCAAAATGGACAATTGAATATACCAACGTGCTCTACACAACCTCAGGATCACACCCAAATTTTTAGAAAAATTTTCCACCGCCGCACGCTCCCCCACGCGCCGGCCACGCGCAGGCACGTGCCTGGCACGCTGACGGCGTCAACTGACGCCGTTAGGAATATTCCGTCAGTTTTGACAGATTCCGTTAACGGCGTCAGGAATATTCCGTCAGAATTGACGGAATATTCAGTCACCTTCCCAGGCGAACCTCCGGTGCCGTCGCCGGCGCCGGAAAATTGCGAAACCTGCAAACTTCGATTTCTCTCTCGTTTCTCAACCAATTTTTGTGATTTTTGTACCAAAATGACGCCTAAGACTAGGGGAACACAACCAACCAACTTTTAAGGGACAAAAACTACGAGATCTTACCTGTCACCAAACTCCAATTCCGGCCAACTTCGAATATGGCGATTCCGACGTCCAAATTCACCAAACGAACCACTCCGAGACTCCTTGGGACCTCACCATGTTACCTACGAGCTCCATTTTCCTTAAAACGTGAGTATTTACGTTTGCATGAATAGTATCCAAAACGGACCTCGTCGAATCGACGTGAAAACGGTGATAATCTTACCTGAAAATGGTACAGCTGCACTCCCACGAGCCTCACGAGTTCGAAAATGTACTTGGTTCCTTCGATCTGTGAAGGTTTAAGTGAGTTGTGTGTGTGTCCGTACGTTTATGGTGAATGGGAAGGGAGAGAGAGATGCGGAACAGAGACAGAGGAAGGGGACAGAGGGTGGTGCAGGTGTGGGAGTGTGTGTGTGGCCCAAAGACATGCCAACACAACACCAAAAACAACCAATAACGTAAAGAGAACGAACTAGGGGTAAAAGTGTCTTTTCACATATACGTTTTCGATATTTTCGGGACGGGCTGTCACAACTTACCCACCTTAATAGAATTTCGTCCCGAAATTCAAAACAACCAAATATAACCCTTAGTGACCAAAGAACAACCTAGGATACAAATCCCTCATTCTATCCTCCGTCTCCCACGTAGCTTCCTCGACCGAAAGATTCCTCCACAAAACTTTCACTAAGTTCACTGTCTTGTTCCTCAGAACCTTCTCCTTCCAATCTAATATCGTCACTGGCTCCTCGTCATAAGTCAAATCTGGATTAATTTCCAAGGGTTGCGGAGGTATCACGTGAGACAGATCAGCAACATAATGTCGAAGCATGGACACGTGAAACACGTTATGCACTCTGGCTAGCTCCAGAGGCAACTCCAACCTGTAAGCTACCTCACCAACTCGCTCTGTGACCATGTATGGTCCAATGTACCTGGGACTCAACTTGCCTTTCTTCCCAAACCTCACAACACCTCTCCACGGCGAAAGCTTCAGAAATACCCTATCTTCGACCTCATACGCTCTGTCCGTAGCATGCCGATCCGCTAAGCTCTTCTGCCTGTCCTGGGCTGCTTTCAGGTTAGACTTAATTACCTGAACATTCTGAGTAGTCTCCTCAACAATCTCCGGACCCACTAAGACTCTTTCTCCAACCTCTGACCAACACAACGGTGTGCGACAAGCTCTACCATATAATGCCTCAAATGGGGCCATGCCAATACTCGAATGAAAGCTATTATTATAAGCAAATTCCATCAAATCCAACCGCTGGTGCCAAGCATCACCGAACTGCAACACCGAAGTTCGCAACATATCCTCCAAGGTCTGAATAGTTCTCTCTGACTGCCCGTCAGTCTGAGGATGATACGCCGTGCTGTAAAGTAGTCTCGTACCCAAAGCTTCTTGAAAAGCCACCCAAAACTTGGATGGAAATCGTGGATCACGATCCGAGACAATACTCACAGGGACACCATGGTACTTCACAATTTTCAAAATGAACAACTCCGCTAATCGGCCCAAAGAATACTTCTCCCTCACTGGAATGAAATGTGCCGACTTAGTGAGCCGATCAACGATCACCCAAATGCCATCAAAACCATTATGTGTACGCGGAAGCTTGTACACAAAATCCATGGTAATATTTTCCCATTTCCACTCTGGAACGGGAAGCGGCTGCAACAACCCAAACGGCTTCTTCCTTTCCGCTTTAACTTGCTGACAAACAGCACACCTACTCACATACTCAGCTATCTCTCTCTTCATACCCGGCCAATAATAAAACGGTCGAATGGTATGATACATTTTAGTAGCTCCTGGATGCATAGCGTAAGCCGAGATATGTGCTTCATCGAGAATTTCTTTCTTTAAATCCAAATTATTCGGCACAACCATTCTTCCCTCTTGCATCAACATGCCATCCGAATCACAAACTCTGAGGTCTCTCCTCCTTCCTTGATCTCGAGCTTGGATTAGTTCTTGAGTCTCCCTATCAGCCACCTGGGCTTCACGTACCCGATCGACTAAGATGGGCCTAACTTGAAAATTAGCAAGTAAAGCCACTTCTCGACCTTCTGCTTCAAACCTCACTCCCGTAGAACGCAAGTCCGCCAAAAGAGGAATATGACTTGTATACAATGCATTAATGTGGCCCTGAGACTTCCTGCTAAGCGCATCAGCAACTACATTTGCACGACCAGGGTGATAATCAATCGTGCAGTCGTAGTCGCTGAGCAACTCCATCCACCTTCGTTGACGAAGATTAAGTTCCTTCTGAGTAAAAAGATACTGGAGACTCTTGTGATCTGTAAAGATCCTACATTTCTCTTCGTAAAGGTAGTGTCTCCACAACTTCAACGCAAAGATAATAGCAGCCAACTCCAAATCATGTGTAGGGTAATTCAACTCATGAGGTTTCAACTGACGTGAAGCATAAGCGATCACCCTACCATGCTGCATTAACACGCATCCCAGACCATTCAAGGAAGCATCGCTATAAACCTCGAAATCACCACTATCGTCCGGGAGTGCCAAAACTGGTGCAGGAGTGAGACGATGCTTCAACTGCTGGAAACTCTGCTCACACTTATCATCCCACTCAAATTTAACATCTTTCCTCGTCAATCTCGTCAATGGTAAAGCAATCACGGAGAAATCCTTAACAAATCTCCGATAATACCCCGCCAAACCAAGGAAACTCCTCACCTCAGTGACTGTTCGCGGTTGCTCCCAATTCTCCACAGCTGCCACCTTCTGAGGGTCCACCAAAATACCCTGAGCAGAAATAACGTGCCCCAAAAACGCAACTTGGTCTAACCAAAACTGGCACTTGCTAAACTTAGCATACAATTGGTGTTCCCTCAACCTCTTTAACACCAAAGTAAGATGTCGAACATGCTCTGCCTTAGACTTC